TTTAAACTCAAGAGTATTATCTGAAAGATTGCATTGTAAAAATGTTAAAATATTTGTCTAACAACAGTATTAGGATAACAGTATCACTCGTTTTAAGAGAGAGTCATAGTAAAAATGCAAAATGATTTGACTTATAAAAATTGAAGATACAAAAAAATTTTGATTTGAGTCCTCGTTAGAATTAAAGTAATTTCTGGGACAAATATAACTTTATAAAAATAGTTTTCAGTGAAAATTGATTTGCTCTTTTACTTTTTTCTAGCAAAATCGTGGAGCTTGAGGAAGAACTCCGTGTTGTTGGTAACAACCTTAAATCCCTGGAAGTCTCCGAGGAGAAGGTATGTTGAAATATACTAGTTTAAAAACAACAAAGCAAAAGCCATTAAGAACTCGTGTATTTTTAAGCCTAAATATCAAAATTAAGAATTGACAAAAAAATTTATGTATGACGACGCACCAGCCATTCATTATAATAATTCAATATAAAACATATTGAACTTCTTTGTATGTCTGTATGTTTGTTGGTACTATTATACTGCAAATTATAAAACTTCTTATTTAATGTTATGGTTCCTAAATTATATGCAGAAGGTTAATCAAATTCCGTTCCACACAGGCCAACCAACGTGAAGAGGAATACAAAAATCAGATCAAAACCCTCACCACCCGCCTAAAGGAGGTGTGAAAGCGAACGGGATCGGTTTATTTGCGAGTGTTTTTTACGCTTGCCTAACTGCATTTACCGCACACCTACTTCATATAGTGTAGTCTCTGCCTGATTTACTTATATCTAACAATAATTGTTGTAAAACAGGCAAAGAACGTAGTGCGTTCTGCGCAGATTCCGTTTTATCCATACCGATATTCCGTCCTTTCTTTTTTTTTAGATGTTGTGTTTTCTTTCTTAACAGTTGATGTTTTAGTTCTTAGATATTAATCGTTATTTACCACTTTTAACTTTATGGTATCTATCAGTGTTGCAGTAATAACAAATAAGATTATTTTCTAATAGCAACATTGTGTGATACAGCATGGAGTTTCGTTATCGCTGTTTTTTTTGTATATTCGTTAATATAAAATAATCGCAGGCGACGCAAAGAGAAGAAACATACGAAGGCCAAGTTAAAATCCTCAACGCACAGCTGAAAGAGGTAAAGTCGAACAACAAGAAAGAAGTAGATAGATTTGGTTTTGGTCGTTGCCATGCTCTTATTGTCATTGCGTTGGAGGATATTGGCCTTGGCGCCATTGCTATTCCTAAAATATGTAATGTAATCGAGTTAAACTGTGGATATTATGCTTGTTATATAGTAAAGATGTAAGGGCTGTGTACGTTGGTGGTAGGTTGGTGTAGACGTCTGGCTGTCAGCTGTCGGTGCCTCACTTTTCCGTATTTTATTTAAGAATTCTTTCTTCTATGTGTCTCCTGTGTATTAATTTTTTCTATTTTACTCATTATTTATGTACTATGTGCCTGTGTTGTGATTGTACGCTTTATTGGATTTAATTTTATCAATTGTTTTCTTAAATTAAAATTATATATTCCTTAGCACCCCTTTATTTTTTATTTTAATACAAGCTGTGAGTAAAATAGTAAATATTTTATTCTTCGTAATGAAATTCACTCACGCTTTTGTAGTGTTAGGTTTTTTTTAGAATATATCTTAAAAAAATAAAATCTTGCGTATAAGATAAGGTCAAAGGAAGCTTTGAGTTGTAGTTATTTTTAGCTAGAGCGGAACTATCCAATAGTACTTGTGGTAACCCGCGGAGCTATATGAAAACATTTGTTTGGAGCGTACTATCACAACATCACAGTACAGCCCGCATGGCGGTGGCTTGCCCTATGTAACGAGTCCTGTGTGGCTAGGCGATGGTGTCGCGGGAACACGTCGAGGATAAGATCCACAGCCTCTCGCAGAAATTGACGCAAGTAAGTTACGCTCCCCGCGAGGGGCTTTGGTCGTCATTTTTTTAACATTAATTAATTTTGATGCTCATTAAATGAAATTTCCTTTAAATATTACGTCTATGTAAAATCATAATTAATAAAAATTGAAAGAAATCGTTAAAAATGTTCCGTTTATGAACACCGTATGTGGAATTAAAATGCACTGAAATTTTGTATCGGGAATTGAAAAAGTTTGACTTTTAACATTGACAAGATAGCAGTAACGGTTATCAATATAATTTTGTTTTTATTAAAACTATCAACTTAGAGATTAACTTAAATATCTTGAGCTTTTCGGCAATATCAAATTTAAGGATATCTATATTGCGACCAAAGCCACCTGCTGTTCTCTTGTATATAGCAATACTCATTCATCAAATTTATGGTATGGCAATAATATATAAAAAGGGTTATGGTACTATATTTATTGTTTCTTAGTGATTCAGCCAGTACAGCACTTAGCTGCTTGCGGTCAAGGTAAACTGCATGGTGTTTGTGTCGCTTTGGCTTTTTAAGTTTGATACTTTTATCCATACAATTTAACGTTAATATTTTTACTTTTTAGTTAAAAATATTTTAATATTTTGAAATTTAAATAAATTTAAAAAGATTACGGTCTTATTTAAAAATTGTTAAAAGATTTGTTAGTTCTATTTAACGTATTATTATTAACTAATAAATAGAACGGCAAATCTTCCATGATTCTGAGAACAGTCCTGCACAACAATCGAAATCTACAGTAATAATTATTAAGATTGTATTGCAAGTGTCTATTTCACATTTTTGACAAAATCTTAGCATTATCAGAATATTAACTTATATAACATTTATTGAATCTAAAATCCTAAAGAAATAAAAATGCGATTTATGCGTTATTTGACAAAGTTGGATGCCCAATAAAAGAGCCCATAGTAATTGAATCGGGAAATCTCTTAATTTTTTTATGAATAAGACCGTTTGAGAAATTAACATTTTGAAATTAATTAAACTAAAACTGATTTGCACAATGAAAAAGCAACAGTCTATTCTTTGTAACATATATTTCTTCTTTTTTCTTCCTTTATAAGATATTCCAAAATGTATTAAAGTTAACGTAAACAATATTAAACGAAGAAAAATTAAAGAATAGGCTGTTCATCACAGATCAGTAACTTTAAATAATAAAAAAAAAAACATTTTCAGGCTGAGGCGCGCGCCGAATTTGCCGAGCGTTCAGTTCAGAAACTTCAAAAGGAGGTCGACAGGCTTGAAGGTAATAATAGTAATTTAAAAAAAATCGAGTTATATTGTATAATAAGTAATGTGCTGAATTTATTATATTTAAATTTTACCATAAATTTGAAAACGGCAAGCATTTGAGACTATGAATAATAAATATTTTTGATGCTAGTTTCAAAGGTCCTGCAGATAATTGCACAGTTGTATTTTCCGGTACGGCAGATTAGCTAAGTAGAAGTTGATGTCTCTGAAGTCAAGTTGCATCAGAGTTTTACATAATACCCAAAGCTTTGAACAATTCAAATGTACAAGTTCATTTGAAGCATTGTTAGAGCTGCGTTTTTGAGTTATAATGTTGTACAGTAGATGTGAAAGCTTAGTTACTCTATCATGGCGCTATAATTCTAGCTTTTTAATTTTTATTGTAACATTATTTAGGATTAATTTTCTGGTGCACATAACTGTTGATTTTGATCATACTTTTGTTATTCACAAAAAATAGATACAAATCTCAGTTACGTGTACATAATTGTATTAAGCATGTATTTTTGTGTTCCTACTATTTTGCTCGGACCGTTGATGTTTTTGTTTTTGTGATTGCATGTGTTTTTTTTTTTTACGTAAAATTTTAATTTTGCCTGTGCTCCTCGGTGCAAATAACGCGGTATCGTGATTTGACAACTGTTTAAGTTTTTTTTAAATCTATGAAATATATTATTACAATAATAAACTACAATTTTGATGATTGAATAATATGTCAATCGTCAACGGCGTTGTTTGAACCGAACGTTGTTTTGTGTGTGACTGACCGTGGCCACGTCCGACCTTGCAGACGACCTGGTAGCCGAGCGCGAAAAGAGCAAACTCCTGCAGGAGGAGATGGAGGCCACGCTCCACGACATCCAGAACATGTGAACACCTCCCCCGCCCCCCACCGCCCCCGCTGCCTCGTTCGCCCGACTCACTATTCTCAACTATACTTTACTTGTATCTTTTGCTATTATTTATATTTATCCTATTTGCCAATATTATCAAACAAGTAAATATGTACGGCTGCTTTTCGCGAGAGCTCTGTATTAAAATTATACTTGGGCTTGAAATGCAAATAAAGTAAAATATGTTTTCCATCACATCCGACTATAAGATAGTTCTTGTAATAGCTTTCTTTCATAATCTTTCCTTTATATTTCTTTCTTCATGTAGAACTTTTAACAACTCCTTATCAAACGGCTAGTGATTCGGGCGAGCGATTAGATGTTTCTAGATTTAGAGTAATTGCCAGACGCTTTTTTAATTGTATCGTCAAGGAGTGTTCGCTACGACACCACTGCCAAGTGCAATTTTTTACTTCTTACACGGATAATTTATATTTTTGCCATTGCGATTTTTAAAAGTGATACTGCAAATTATTATTGCAATAATATCATAAATGCTTTTTCATAGTATACACATAAAGAAATTCGCCTTTTGGCACTCACATTGCAAATTAACATTCCAATATCGGGACCAATACGTATGTATAATGCTACAGACTCAATGGCTCAGTATTTGTGTATCAATAATGTCATGTTATTATTTAGACATTGATGTTTTAAAATTATTAATATTCATTTATAAGAGTGCACTGTTTGCTATTATTTACTATGAACTCTTTATTTACCTTACGATAGAGAAGATTAGATATTTTTTATTTAAATGAGTGAGACGGTAACTCGTAAATATTAATATTTATAAGAATGTACTTGCTATGAACTATTTTGATATTCTGTTTCGAGTATGATTCCTTTCTTGTGTCATAATTTGAGTTTATGTTATTTATTTAATTTAATTGCTAGGTAAATAAATACCATTCCATGTAACAGAGATCCCGTTGCAAATACGGTTGTTATTTATATAGTTGCGCTGGCAATAATTCTCCCTCGAGTCCCGTCTCTCGAGGCTCTGGAGCCTAGCATTCTATAGCATAGCACGTTGTTTGTGTTGTGAGTATAATGTCAATATTGCTATTACAATACGAAAACTTCGATCAATCGAAACCGCTCCGTCTTTTAAAATGTTATCGATTTATTCATTGATAGATAAGTTCGTGAAAAATAAATTAATGATTTTAAGAGTATTCTAACACAAGTGTTTATAAATATATAATATTATTATTTTTAGATGTTTGTCTTTTTTTACTAATCTGTGTGAACCCCTTATTGTCCTGTGTGAGTTACTAATGACGTGTCGATTCTATCAGCTATCATTTTACCGATCATTTCGTTCATATAAAAATTTCACTTTAACATGCAAAAATATGAGAGAAAAACTAAACAACCATTTTACTTGGTAACAAATCTGTATTGTCAATAACTTACCCTAAGCACGGGGCGTGAAAGGAAGCATCTAAAAGATGTCACTGAGCGAAATATGGCGACGCCATGTGTTAAAAGCATGTATCCCAGGAACGCAAGGAGAGGCCTTGAACCTAATAACGAAGTTTATGTCGGAGCATGTAGTTAAAAAATCGAAGAGATAAGACTAAAGTAGTAAACTTAGTAATATGTTAACGCATGCTTCCCAAAGAAAAATCCGGTTAGTTTCAAAGTGTTAACCGCGAGAGGGCATGAAGAGAATCGCATGACCATATATCGAGAAAGACAAGCTCACCACCAATGCCTGCTACAGATGACCTGATCAACGAGATAGAAAAGTACAACGACATCGGTGACAACATTGACGATGCGGTTGTGGAGTTGATACCGGGAGTTCAGCCCACCGAAAGGCAACTAGAAAACGCCATCAAGAACCGCGCCCAGCAACAGGAGGCCGCGAGGAAGGAGAAAGAGCGAATGGAGGAGGCTGCAAGGCGGGAGAAAGAGAAGCAGGAGGAGGAGGCGCGGAAGGAAAAGGAGCGCCTAGAGGAAGAGGCGCGCAGGCCGCCGCCTCCTCCCGCTGCCACTCCCGCAGCACCAGCTGAGGCTCCTGCAGCTCCAGCTGAGACTCCTGCGGTCCCAGCCGAAACTCCCGCAGCCCCAGCTGAAACACCTGCCGAATAAAGTCTTCAACCTTCTGTCACCACATCATACCACCCATTTTTAACTACTTAATTTTTAATCGTTGACACGAACACAACACAACATAAATTATACTCAATATTTCGGGTAGCTTTGTAAATTTTATATTTTAAAAATAAATGAGATGAACATAGCTGATGGAACGGCGTTTCGCTAGGCGATACCTTATACACTATTCAATAGCCCAAGTGGCTCGAAGCATGCCCGCAAATCAGATTAACCTTAATAAACGGCGTGAAATGACTGAATGCGCTGGTTTCCACAGACGATCTGATCAACGGTAAAGAGTTATCCAACGAAATCGAGACTGAAGTCGACGGATTTCTCCGAGACCTGGGCCTGATGGGGCAATCGCCTTCCCGATACTGCGATCGTTGCACGCGCTGTAATTGAAGACTCAACTCATACTAACGCCTCAATTCATGTATTTAAAATCTAGTAAACATTACCCATTAACTTGCTTTAAATAAAAAAAAGTAAAACACTACCACTTTCTAAGTTATGAAATAAACGCTTCCTTACAAATTGCATGAAAGCGTTGATGTGACACGGACATTTTGAGCAAAAGCTCAGGTTTTAATGAGAGCGACGCATGGCTTCGGAGTGAAAAGGAACGCGACATGTAAGCATTATTTTAATTATTACTACTACACACGCTATCTCGCATAATGTTGCCACTAATTTGCTTTAAAACTTGACTTGAAGAGCGCGCGAATTAAATCAATTGACAATGTGCCTATTGTTCCTTAGCTGGCAAAATTTGTACCAAAGAGTTTTGTTTATTTTCCTTTTAAACTGTATATATGTATATTATTAATCATGTATAAACTTCATCGAAAAAGTATTTAGTAGTATAAGTATACTATTGCCAGCAAGGACACGTTTTGTAACGTTCGTTTATTAGGGGGACTATACAATTTTTGCTTTATATTAAGCAATAAAATAATTTATAATAGTACGTTAATTTTTCCGATAAAATATTTAATACGCACATATATGCAGACGAACTTGTCGCCGAGAAGGAGAAATACAAGGACATCGGAGACGACCTCGACACCGCTTTCGTGGAGCTCATCCTTAAGGATTAAGTTCTCGATGCCAATCCACCACTTACGCCAAGGCTACGCCACCTGCCAGCGATTCACACAATATCTGTATAGACGTATTTTACTTTATATTTTATATTGATTTAAAGTATTATAATCTATAGTTTTATGGCGGTATTTATTTTTTATCTATCTTAATAAATAATTTATTGTTTATATTTTCGTTTTATTTTCCTTTACGCATTCGAAATTTATGTTTAAATTAAATGATTTCATTAGAATGTTACTATAGTATGTACTTACGTAAGTTTTTGCCTGTAACTTTATATTTGGTACCTGGTCCTGACATTAGTGTTTTGTAATATTGACAGGCATGTTGGATTAGAAAGAGAATTATTTAAATATTCTCCTTTACTCGAAGAGGAAACAAGATATAAATCGTGTTAAAATAAAAAATAAAAACGGTTGAAATCTGAAGGCAGTAATGATTGCACTTAGGATTGTATATGTATTTATTTTTATTTAGTAATTGGTACGAATGTATGCTATTATTTATTCGTAGTTAGAACATCCATATTCCCAATCTATGTATTACATTTGTAGATAATTGCATGATTTAAATAAAGAGTTGGTCACCATTATCATAAGACAACTGTTGGATACAGGCCTTTCCAAAAATGCAAACACTAACTTACATTCTTTTATTAAAATATTTGCCAATATCATGGCGACCAGGCAGCTTGGTATAGTAGAGCCACAGTCCATACATAGTTCAGATTTGTGATTGATTTTCTGCCAATAGTCTGTTTCGAGAACTTCGTTTATGAACAGGGTCCATCACTTGATGGTAAAATTGGTATTTTCAGGAAAAGTTGTAGTAGTAGTAAAAGTAGATATAAAAATATATATCCTTACATCCGAAATAGTTGCAGTAATTAGTTGTAGGTACATGTCTTTTACAAGACCCTATTAAAAAAATATTTTGTAGTTTATTTTAAACCTTGTATCTTTAAAACCATTTAACGACTAATGATATAGATCTTTTTTTCGTGTTAATTTGTCATTAACTCACTAATTTTTACTAACAACAGACGAGGTGTTGGAAGAACGTAGTAAATATAAAGCGATAGCAGAAGAAGTAGATCAAACGTTTGCTGACCTCTCCGGTTACTAAACTGAAAATAGCCATTTTGAGGACGTGGCACCATTTTCTGCGAGTCAATGGCAATCTTCGGAAGAAATGACGATTTGTTGCTTGTATGTATAGTTTGCATTCTGCACTGCGCACATAATGCAAATAAATGCTAGGAGTCTGTGGGTATCTAAAGACTTAAGAAGTTTAAAAATGTTTTGATAGAATCGTTAAAATATGCATCACTCTGATTTCTAACAGGCTCATAATAAAAATGCATTTAATTCTATTAGAAATAATTTCAACGCTAAGTTATGCAGAGGGCAGTGATATTTAAGATGTTAATTAATATTTACATTAAATTCAAACATCTATTATATTATTTAAAATGACTTACCATTTAAGATTTATGTAGGTTTTCTTGCAATTTAAAAGAGACAAAGTAAGTAGTATTTAGTTATTGGTATATACAAATTTTTAATTTATGTCACCAATGTAATTTTAATGAGTTTATAATTTAAAAAGATTAAGTCATAACTTCTTGACGCATTAAGACAATGCTGTATAGATATTCAAAGAATAATTTACAATGTTGGTAACGTATTTACATTTGTATTAAGTGAAGGTATTTTGTTCGTTATAAAATCAGGAACATGGACTTCTATGAAGTGAATTACTTCGTCTTTTGTGGCCAGGAGCAAATGTAAATAAAATGCTGTTACCTAATTATTTCGAAGAAATGGAGCAGAGTTAAATATAGATCATCTCTTCTAAATTGTCGAAGGCTGAATACGTGTTAAACACATACGAGTCTATATTGATGCGCTAAGGGCTAAAATTCATAGGTTTAGCTTTAGATAGCTTTACTCTTATATTTGTCTAAAATTAAAAAAAAATCATATATTAATTTTTCATAAACTTGAATGTAAGTACTAAAATTTTGCATGCAAAAAGTACCTGGCTGCGGATATCACGTCTTCTGATGAATCTGATAGCATGTAATTAAAATTCTGTTAATCCATATGCGTTTATGTTATTAAGTTAAATGATATTGCTAAGTAGATTGGTTCAAAACCTGAGGAACCTTACCAGATCTAAATGACTTGAGTCATTTCCAATTTCTTTAAATGTGTTATTACCTATTACATTTTTACTATATTACATTATCTACTCCTTCCGAGTCACTGCCGACGTTCTTAGGTTTACCAAAATAAAGCTTTTTAAGTTAATGCTAATGCTGTCGTTATTAAATAATTCCATCAGGAATTATTGTGCGATAATATAAAACTTTCTTAACTGTAACGACGTGGTATGTTTTTATTCCAATAGATAAGTATATTTTAAGACATACTTACTTAACATTTCATTTTCGAATAAAGGTATAGAAAATTAGGTTTAAGGATTTTGTACGTAATATTTTAAAGTATCTACACATTTTATATAACTATACCCACTATCGTAAATGAATGTGAAAGCGATGTTATGCAAGTGTAACAAAAATAAATTTGACAGAGTATTAATTTGTAATAACGAAATTACCAGAGAAATTAAATTGAATTGATCGTAGATTCTTTTTTGTAGTAACTGCTATATTAAATCTGCCAACTTAATTGAAATATTTTTACTTTACGGGCTGACAACTACCTAAGTAATTAAATGTAAAATTAATTATCAATGAATCGAGTAGTACCTAAGCAGATTCAATTCAGTGTTTATTATAAATATATTAAACCGTTCTTCACCATTTTGTTGTCGTTATTCCACGCATTGGAACTAAACGGTTTGCTTCATCTTTAGTAATGCGCAGAAAAGGAGTGAAATACCTAATTTGCCGGCGTCTTTTCGTCCCAATAAAATCTGGCCGTCTACAAAGTAAGAGTGAATAGGATTTTGTTATGCAAAGACAGTGCTATTTACAATCTAGGGTGAAGCCCACACACACCAGGTGGGATTGTAGTCAGCGCTTTTTTATAATAAGTTAAAAAATCAATTTGGAAGGCAAGATTATTTGCATATGATGGTCAGGTTTTCTACTATATGTTGAGAGCTTGTTATATACTCGCATGACACCGTTTTTCAGACGTGTAATTTTGTAATACGTTTATACTTAAAGTTAGTTTTCCATAACCATTAACAATAAATCTAGTTTAGTCTGTTTTGCTTTATTAAAACTGATCTAGCTTATTTATTCTAAGTGCGTCAAGTGCTTTGAGCAACGGTTTCAACTTGATTAAATATACATTTATAAAAGGCGGAGTTTTATTAACACCTTGCGAATAAAGTAAATACTGACAGTAAAATTTCGGATGCTTCATTCAAAATAAATTCAATAAGAGCTAAAATATGACAATGGACTAAAGTGAAATAATGATCTATTTGAAAAATTGTTTTATCCTAAAATATAGTGCAAGGGGACAGCCAATATGGGTATATCCCATTTGCCCGATCAGTTCCTAGATCGATCACCGGCTTCGGCTTATGAGCTTCTGTTCATATTGTTTAGGTAAAAATACATCTTAAAGTAAAGATTTGAATAAGTTCTGCGCCTCAGACCAAAAAATGTGATAGAATAAACTGGAACAAGAAAAGCATGAAAGGAATATCTAATAGCAATTCGACGACCTGCGTCGACTCGACGACTTCCAGCCTCTCGTACAAGCCGGTTTCCGAAAAGGCTTTAGTACCATAGACCACATACATATTTTCGACAAATTGTACAAGACCGAAGAGTATAGTATACATATCACTTTGCTCTATGTATGTGGACTATGATACAGCCTTTGATTCTCTCGAAATTTGGGCTGTGCTACAGTCCCTCCAGCTGTGTTTGTACAGTAGGGATACGATGGCTATCCGAGTACAGAACCAGAGTACAAAATCTATCCAACTGCAAAGAGACACAACCAATGGAAAGGAAAGGTTTTCGAGTGGCAGCCTCGAACCGATAGACGAAATGTTGGACGACCCTACACTAGAGGCCTGGTAAGATATGCAGGAAGTCGATGGATGCAGGTGGCTCAGGACCTGCTTTGTGGCATAGCTTGAAGCACAAATAACCGATGTCGATAAATGGTTCTCTAGTGGCAGGCTCGTACCGGCAAGCGAAGTATAGGAAAGCGCCGCACTAGATGGAGTGACCATCCAGTTAGAGATACAGGAAGTCGATGGATGTAGTTGACTCAGGATCGCGCTTGTTGGCATTTCTTGGGAGAGGCCTTTCTTCGGCGGTGGACATGCGATGGGCTGTAATCAAGATAATGATGACCTATTTTAAGATTTGTGAGCCGGCGGTACATTTATAAATATTTAATATATTATGTTGAACCGTTTGGTTTTACTGGTTTTCTCCTTATAATATACAATACACAATTACAGGTTGTACCAGTTAATTTAAAATTTGACTTAAAATCATCATCAGCCTGCGGCAGCGCACTGCTCGACATAGGTCTCTTCCAAGGCGAGCCACTTGGCCCGAACTTCGGCTACACGCATTCAGTTTCTACCAGCCACCTTGAGCTTGTGGAGCAGCCATATCGTCAGTGTCCACGTATCGGCACCCGTAAGTGAGTACGGGCAGGACGCACTGCTTGAAGACTAGACTTTGCGTTAAAATTTATATTTGATACCGCAGTCTGAAGTCAAAGTTTGCGCTATAAATTTAAAATATTTAAAAGTGCCTATTGACAATGTATCAGTGATTTGAAAATCCTTATGAGCTTTCGGATTCTATCCATAACTAAATGTGAATGCAAATTACCATTATGTTCAAGTATTTAGTTTTTATAACTTTTGTGATTGGACTAAGGTCTATCTAACAAGGGCCGGGTTTTTCAAATCCATAAAAATCAATTTTGGGAAGTCTGTTAATTTGTAAGACATCATGATCAAATAAACTGTTTTTATTTGAAGAGAAAATTTTGTACAATAACAAGGCACCACTGGCCAAGTACTTACAAAAAAAGTTCTTTAAAAGCTCGTCTATGGTCCTTATTGGGCACTAGGGCTCTAAATAAGGTCCATAACTGAACTGCAAGATTTTAGGCATTGTATACCAAAAAAATCACATCTTTAGAAAGCAATGGCTTTAAACTATTGTTAAGTTCGTGGCTTTAGAACAATGAAACAGACATTCATATAAGTTAATGTCGTGGCGCTTAAGAAATATTAGGAAATGTATATATAAGTTATAAGTAGTCTATTTTCTAGTTGTAAATTGTAGTTATATGCAGATTTTTATTAACTCTAATAAAGAAAATCACAAAACGTTACCAATGAGTCATTTTTTCAATCTTAGTTCTTGGACCTTATTAGGT